ATCATGAAAAGGATACGTAACGTCAAAACTACAGTGAAAAAGTATTAAAAACTTGTTTCATTTAATGAGTGGTGTGCGTGAAAACTTCGAATCAAATATATTTTGTTTTGTTTTTTGTTTCAGGCCTGTCATCCATCCTGCTCAAATGAATCCCATACATCAGTATATACTCAGACTGACCTTGAAATGGTTAGCTGTTTAGTCATTATTATTATTATAATATACACACCAAAACTACCTCCCTACATAATTGAGCCTTTATGTTTTTATCCAGTATGTAGGTATTAAGAAAGTTTAGGAATTTTATTTGTGAAATTATTGAATTCATAATGCTCTCGTGAAGCGATACCAATCATTTATCTATGATTATCACTTATTGTATTGGTATTTAGCCAAACTATAATAAACTAGCGGCTCGTCCCGGCTTCACACTTTTTTCGGATGCTGATTCATTGTTTCCATAGTATTAATACACCCGATTAATCCGAATAAAGAACATGAATAAATTAATACACATTTTAAAAGTAGCCGGGCTGAATTTCTTATGTAATTATTTACCATTGCCTTTTTGAAGCCTCGTAGCCACGCCACGACATACAGACAGACTTTTTAACTCTGACAAATCACAACAGACTGACAGACATTTTGACAATTTTACAGATCACAACTGACTAAAAGAGGATTCTTTGAAGGATATCCATTTCTCTCTTTATATATTCGTGAGTATAGATAGTATAGAATAGATATAGAAGAAGACTTTATATTTGGTAAACTAAAGACTGCTCGAACATTATGCCCAGTTGTCATTCACATGTCAAATAATGAAGTTTAAGCTTTTTAATTAATAACAAATCAGAACAAATCTACTGAAATCAAGGGCTCTACTCTCTTTCTCCGAAACGAACTTTCGATAACGAAATTTAAACGAAATTTAATTTCGTCAATTTAAGGATATACTTAATTTGAACGATAAACTATCAAATGGAAGCTTTCTTTGAGTAGGCTTAGTTAATCTACACCTTAATTTATATACCGACGACGAATATTGTTATAATTAAAAATGAACCAGAAACATAGTAAGGAAAGTGCGAAGTTGCGATCGAAATTTCGTTTTTCGTTAAATTAGAGTAGGCCTCCTGGTCGAATATCTGAAATCCATTTGGCCAGGGGCATGGCCACCCTGATTTTTCAGCTTAGCAAAAAGTTTCAAAGTATTTAAATAGGTCGAGTATATTAAATCTATTTAGCCATGGGCTTGGCCATCCTGATTTTTCTATTTAGCAAATAAAATATTAAAAAAAAAGTTTCTTTTAGACATATAGGTTGAATATCTTTTTATCCCGGAATTCCCAAGAGAACGGGAACTTCGCAGGTAAAACCGCGGGGCCCAGCTAGTAATAACATATTGGAGCAGTCAAATATATTTTAAAGATAACTTGCTATCCTTATTTGTCGTCGTAGAGATCGAACATTTCTTTTTTGTTATAGTTTAGTTTATCGAAACCAAGTTTCAAAGCCGTCAAGCTAGCCAAACTTGTTTTCCCATACAAACTTTGAAACCCTAAATTACCCAATTCACGGTGGAATATTCAAAAATCCTTTCTTGCTTGATGCGTTAGTCAGTCCGTCAAAACAACCTATTTACTAAATATCATGTCTCTACGACCAAAAGGCTAGTGCGTACTGCGTTGACGCAATATTTAAAACTTCAACATGCTTTATCTTTGTTTTATGAGGGTAGTTTTGAAAAATGTAAACACAGCATTTTTATTTTTTACAGAGTAGGTGTGTAAAATTTTAATCAATCCAATGCACTTTAGCATGATCTCCCATACAAAACATGACATGAAATTTTGTAATTTTTTAAACGTTTTTTTGCAAATTTCACGCTTAATAGGCAGAATTTCAAAAAATCCCATCGTATTCTTAGATTAAAACAAAAAGGGTAGATACGGTGCGCTCATACTTGCATCAAACAAAAACTGATCCCATGGCAGCGCGAACGGGACGGCGAGATCCGCGTCACTGCATTACCGACCCGAACGAAACAGCACGTCAAGTTTCAACGGCAGCGCGAACGAGACGGCGAGATCCGCGTCACTGCACTACCGACCAATCACGCGACCAGTACTCGACGTCACTACCGAATAAGATTCAAAACAAACAGCAATTTTTATGAAAAAATATATTTTATAGTACTTACGAATGAAAAGTGATGCCGTGGGTTTTATTTTTAGTTCTTGAGCAATTTGAGCACTTTTTAAAAACACACTAAGGCATTGTTTTATCATATAAACACAAAATATTAGCAATATTTCTTTTGGCGTTCACATGTACGTCGTTTGCGTGTTAAGTTGTGACTAAAGCGATTAGGGTCGTGGACCACAATTCATGCGGATCACTTTTGTGAGGCTAGTCTACCCTTTTTGTTTTAATCTTAGATCGTATTAAATAAAACTAGTTTTTACGGGTTAATTCACGAAACTTTATTTATTTTTGACGTTTCGCAGCCTTTTCAGGTCTGCATCGTCAGAATAATGATTTTTTATTTAAAATTGTCGAGTTACCTTCAAAGACTTATATTGAGCGTTCGGTTATTTCATTGGAAGATTTTTAAAATTTTATTGTCTATGTATGAATTTATTATTTAATTTACTTAATAAAGTATTTTATTTAAAATTCTTGTTTGTAATTTTGAGTTTATTTATTTGACCCTAACTACCGTAAACTACCACCGGTTCCAAAATTGGGAGACCTTCCTGACAAGAACCGGCGAAACAATCTCAAGAGAGGCTTTCTATCTCCTTCTTATGTTAAATTAAGCAAACAAAAAGAACTAATAGTATCTGATGGTTTTGCAGTGTGTGCTCGAGATATGAAACATAGGCGCGAAAATAAATCTGCAGTGTGTGAACATGCATTAAGGGGACCAAACCACTACATTACATTTGATAGACCACAGATTCTTGCAGCTGAGCGGCGGTTCGTTCCTCGAATGATGCGCGAGGCTATTGAGATTAAAAAATATCCAAATTTCAATAGGGAAGATGGTTGGTATATACCACCAGCTTGGGAACCTATTATACAGGAGATAAAATCCCAACCCCGAGCACACACTGCAAGACCATCAGATACTATTAGTTCTTTTTGTTTGCATAATTTAACATAAGAAGGAGATAGAAAGCCTCTCTTGAGTTTGTTTCGCCGGTTCTTCTCAGGAAGGTCTCCCAAATTTTGGAACCGGTGGTAGTTTACGGTAGTTAGGGTCAAATAAATAAACTCAAAATTACAAACAAGAATTTTAAATAAAATAATTTATTAAGTAAATTAAATAATAAATTCATACATAGACAATAAAATTTTAAAAATCTTCCAATGAAATAACCGAACGCTCAATATAAGTCTTTGAAGGTAACTCGACAATTTTAAATAAAAAATCATTATTCTGACGATGCAGACCTGAAAAGGCTGCGAAACGTCAATAAATAAATAAAGTTTCGTGCATCAACCCGTAAAAACTAGTTTTATTTAATGAGTGATGTGCGTGAAAACCTAAGAAACAAATACTTAGATCGTATTACTTGTCTAGGCAATAATAGGAACCTACTGTCCAAATTTCATCGTTCTAGGTCCAGCCGTTTCGGCTGTGCGTTGTTGAGTCAGTCAGTCAGTGTATCCTTTTCTCTCTTTATATAATAGTATATATTAGGAGAACGTTCTATTGCGCTTTTTAGGCTTAAGTTCTCATTAAAACAATGTTTCAATGTCGAGTTTTTTTATTAATCCATAATATTAACTATTAACATAAACTTACACAAGTTAAAATAGCTCAACAAATATGATGCATAATTTACAAATTTATTTAATCCAAATTCTTTAGTGTCTGGATTAACCTTTCTTGTATAATTTTATTATCATCTACCATTTTGGGATATTAAAATATAATTAATGGTTTGCCATTGTCAAATTTGGTAAGCTACATAAAATCAGCTATTCAATCAAGTGGACAGCATACTAACTTCTACAAACAATCTTCAAATCGACAACAATATAATATCGCAGTTAAATACTATATATAACTTGGTCAGCAATACTTCACAATAGATCAGTTAAGAAGAGAAATGTCTTACTTGAAGTAGTACGAGAAAGGTTCTATGTTTTAATTATGATTAAAAAATGCAGTGAAGTTATCTTGTGCAAGAATCAAATTAAAACGAGGAACGAGCGTGCCAGCGCCTACAAACGCTAGTAATCGAAAGTTAAAATTTCTATGAAATCAAGCTTTTATAAATCAAATTATTATTTTACATGATTAAAATCATTGTGGATTTTATATGAAATTATATGATAAAATTAAACAAATATTATTATTTGAAATAATGTAATTGAATATTATACTACATAATTGTTGTTATATTTTAGATTACACACCCGTTTGAAGTCTGCCTTTTAATATTTACATTATTCCAGAGTAACATGGATATAATAATATTTTTATTTCTTTAAGAAATTTAAGACATAATCTGCTAGTCCGCTTATCAAAACATGATTAATAATTGTAGGGATCTCATTGCATTCGACATATTTTAGTAACTACAGTGATAACAGCAGTTCAGTATGCTGATTGATTTAGAAATTGCTAACCATATACCCTTCAAAATATTTTTCTGCCCAATAAATTATGCAAAACGTTAAAAGTAGAAATAGCATAATTATTCTAAAAACAATGTTGTGTCAGCTTATATTTTTTTTTACACTTACTACTCGTAAGGAACATTGGTTAGGCTAGGAGAGTAGACTAAAGCACAAATCAACTGTACACAATGTATAATGATCGGCTTAAAATAAACTCACTTCACTCTTGTCTTTAAAATAGTACAAACCGCCGCAGAATTTCCAGCCAATGGCCAGGCTGATGCTAAGTACGTCACTATAATTCCCTGGTGCAAATAGCTTTCAGATAGCTAAGTATTCACTGTTTGACACACGTCTGCCACCGACTAAACGATGCGCAGCACGAGTTTCTGATTAAAATTTGTTTCGTTATGTTCCGTTTCTTCCTCCTCCTGGAAATTTAAAATAATTATACATTTGTGAATTTTGAATTACCTGAAAAAAATTACTAGCTAATTCAAACAACGATTGAAGTTGTATTTCGCAAAAAAAAATTGATGTCTCCGTGTTAATTATTACACCAATAATGCAATCAATTTTAATTGCCATAAATTGATTCAAATAAATCTACTTTTAGGATATATGTACTTTAAATGAATAATAATTACATAATATGTATGTTATTTACAAGTTTGCGCCATTTAAGGATATTTTGTAAACAATAGAAATGAATATTTTTCAATGGGGGTGTACTTATACTGTTCATAACCTTAAATTTAAACAAAAAGGGAAGATACGGCATTCGCGGCTCAAAAGTGATCTGCTTAAATTATGGTGCATGACCACAATTCGCTTTAGTCACAATTGGACATTCAAAAACGCTGCATGTGGACTCAATATAACAATATTGCGTATATTCTGTGTTATAAAGATAAAACAATGCCTTCGATGCTTTTATAAAGAACACAAATAGATCAAAATCAAATAACAAATGCCTCGGCAACACTTATCATTCGTAAAACTGTAAAAAAAACTCAAAAAAACGCAGTTTTTCATGAATGTTATTTACTTTTTCGCCATTTGTTATCAAGAAAAAAACAACAATACAGCTCAGCCGTTTTTAGAGAGAGAAAAGAAAACGCAGTCGCTTAGCCAAGCGACGCTGACTCGCCGTTTCGTTCGCGCTGCGTTGAATCGGAAAGTTCTGTCTCGCTCGCTCGATTAATGTTTATTTACAGAAGTGTGCGTGCGTAAAAGATGCTTATGTAATTGAGTCGGAGCATATTTTATTTGATGCTAGTAGGAGCGTACCGTATCTTGCTTTTTTGTTTTAATCCTAGATTATAACTGTCCCCACTACTTTCATTTAAACGATTTTTAAGTTTCTCAGGTAATTCATAATTTACGGTGTATAAATAAGCGCGTTCTGTCTGCGCATTATTATTGCTAAATTTGTTCATTGTTAACACTAACATCGAACCCAAAGCAAGACTCCACATCTTTCTCTAATTTTATTCGTTCCCCAGGATCTGCTTGTCGCTTCACCCTTATTTGTTCTTCTGTTATGTATTTCTTTTCTACATCAGCTTCTTCTTCGTCGTCTTCTGAAATAATAGAGAAACGTTTATAATTCAATTCAAGATGTCTTGCGCAGCTCTATTGGAGATTTCGGGAATAAAATTTTTCCTATAATACCAAAGTGTCCATTGGTGAGTTAAAATTTTTATGGAGGATGGGAGTCAGTCTCCGGTAGACTCCAAATTATTATGACATGTAGTGGACTTAATTGTAAATCGTGTGACATTTAATTTATCTCCATTTTTTTAAAGTTATTATTTTAATATAAAATTATCCTGTGCAAATGGATGATATCTGCCAAGTTAAAAAACCATATTATAATACAATATTTAGATGTAGAATTGATAAAGAGAAACAAATGCAGAAAATATTTAAGATAAATTTATGATATAAATGAAGACCATAGGTTTTCGGTAGAACTCGAAATATAACAGTTTTTAAAATGACCATTTTGTCCGCAGACGAGGGGTTATGTAATTATTTATTGGCGAATGGCAAGTTAATTTATATATTTTTTGAAATATGACCTTACTTATGACAGGGTGGGCGGCATCCTTACAAAATTGTTAAATTTTTAAGCATGATTTAAAAATAACAGTATCTGTTCATGTTATATGTTTCGACGCTCCCGGAAACCGACTATTAGAATGGCCTCCTTTCAACTTCAAGGAAGACAGAATACCACATTTTCGTATTTATAATTACATATGTTGTTTTATTTAACTTAATTGCACAGTAAAATAAATAAATGTACAAATAGCGGACTTAATACCATTAAGCATTCTCTACCAGTCAATGTCAGTAGTCCAATAGTCTGGACAGGAATATATGGTAAAGCAGAAATGTTTAATATTTATATGAAATACCTTGATCTTCCACATAATCTGGTGCGACTACAGCCACTTGTTCTGTACCATCTTCCAATTGTATCACTTCGAGCACCACATATTGATGATGATCACCATCCGCCACAGTAACGAGCTCGCCCCGTCGTAATTCTCTCATCAATTGTTCTCGCTCTTCCGGAGGCTCTTCTTCTTCTTCTTCTTCTTCGTCACGAGCCTAAAGCATATAGTATGCTTAGTTGTATATAAGAGATCGATGGAAGTGGTTATAGTAGGACTTTGCTTTAAAACGCAAATTAGCAATAATATCATATAATAATAAATATACTTAAATTATGAAACAATTGTAATCTGAAATAGGCTTATCAATAAATATTAAATACTGTATATTAATGTGATTTTAACTATGGAGAGGTGTTGCATGGTTATGTTAAAAGCTGATGCAAAATATATATTAACAAAACTGTGTATTGTTTCTTAGTTTTGATATTTGTGTGTATGAAATAAACAGTATCATTTTAATCAATAAATATCTTAGATTAGATATCAAAAATCTATACAAAAATCGCCAGCAATATTTGAAGTGGAATGACAAAGATAATTATGATCTTACTTTAATGTTTTCTTAAAATAAAAAGAAGTTATAAAAGTATCTCAAAGGCAAATCGCTATGTATCCATTTAACTTTTATAATTACATGTTTAAAATAATTTAAATATTCATTCTTCTTCGCTTCGCTTCGGAGTAAACTATACTTTTGTTCTTAGGTTTGATATTATACATAATTTGAACTTTTCGTCTAAATATGTGAAAGTGAAGAGCCAAAGCCCATTGGCACGTTATGGGGTTAAGGAGTTCGCAGCTAAACAGACAGATGCAGAAAGCGAATTTATAATACATACTTATTTTTAGATAAAGATCTTAACAACCATAAAGCATTGTAAAGGAATAAAACTATTCGATTCAAAGAAATCTAATAGTTTTATTCCTTTAAAATAAATAATTTAGTCCTTATTTCGCACAGGCAAAACTACGTAAAATATGTGTAATATAATTATTATACGTAAAAAAAATTGCAATGCAGTTAACGCTTTCAGGAGAGCTAAATATTAACATAAAAATTGCTACATTCGCCATGCCCAGATATTAACGGCTATTATCGCTTGTATGCCATCAGATGGACTGAATCTTTTTAATATTATAACACTAGTTTTGTAATCATTAAAAATTTTAATTAATTAATTACGTAACTATGTTTTTATTTATTTTTAAACATTTAACTACTAGATGTTTAAATCTAAAGAAAATTTTTACTACAAAAAAATCCACGCGGACCAGGCAGCGGACGGGACTCGAACCCGCACCCTTCGCAATCCGGGCGAATGCACTGACCAATTATGCTACCACGGCCCTGATGGCCGCGTCGAAATTTTCCTAGCCTTAAGCTGCAAGGCAGCGCCATCTCTTCACATTGTAGGTAGCCCACAATGTCAAATCAATACTGTAAAAATTCCGGTATTATAAAAAAACTTAAGCAAGCATTAACGACAGAGAGAATACAATTAGTTTATTTTATGTAAAATTAAATATATTATTTTCTAATATTAGGAATGTTAAAAGATTTTATTATGTTTTCAATCACGCCAAACTGCAGTGCATTACTGATTACTTGTTTGATTGTCAATTTGTTGTTAAAAATCCTTCTACTTTGGTAAATTATAAGCCACATAGATCTTAGATTAACACAAATAACAGTGCTTTTCGCTTTTTATTCTGCAAGTAATTTCGCGAAAGCCGTTTTCACCAAAATCGCAGGAGACAGTGCAATTAAATAAATAATTTGCTTAAATATGGTACAAGAATATTAAAAGCATTTTGTATATTTAGGGATTCGAAACCCACATCTTAGTGGAAAAATGTACGTAAATATCTCTCTTAGTACTTTTTATCAGACTAATCAGTCGTATAAAAAGGTTAATTTAAAGACAAAGGAACCCCTCTGTGCTTTGAAGACAAAATTAGCCATTGGTCCCAGCTACATCTGCTGTCGTTAGCATCTACCAATCTGTAATGGGATCGCTGTGGGTCCCATTACGTCTATAGGAAAAGCCTGTGCCCTAGTAGTGGGGATATAGGCCGACAATACTACTAATATTATAAATGTGACAGTTTGTATTTTATTTCTCAATAACGCCAAAGCGGCTGAACGGCTTTGGATTAAATTTGGCACAAATATAGTCTTTTACCTGGATTCAGCAATAGGATACATTTTATCCTGAATCAATATTAAGTAACTGGTGGGATTCTCATAAAACTATAGTGAACGCAGACAAAGTCGCGGGCCGCCGCTAGTGATAATAATAAATAATAAAATCGCATTTTTGACAAAGTCTCGGAATTCGCAAACAAAAACCAGCTTAATTGCAATAACATAAGCAGTAAAAAAGGTTAAATTGCCACTGCATAAACAGTAAATAATTATCATAATGTTAGTTATTTCACTTTACATCAGTTATTACTAGATGTTTTCCTATCGTGAACATCAATTCAAATTAATACGATGAAGAATAAATGCGCCAGTAGTGTGAAATAAATTAGGTATATGCTTTTGTATGTTACATTGTAAGCAGCCAGCCAACTAAATATACTCAACAAAAAAGGATATTTAAGCAACATGTTGTACGGTTTTGAACAATTTTTACTATTGTAATAATATATTTATACTATACTATAATTAACACAATCGAAAAATTGCTATTTTTCAAATCAGCCAATTACATTTTTAATAACATAAAATCTATACCAATCTACTTTGCTAAACAAAAAATTAAACATCAATTTAATAAAACATACAGTTTTTGTAAATAATGCGTATTGCTTCGACTTTTTTAATGTGTGTACTTTTACTTTACTAGCACACGAGTACAAGTTCTGAGGCCCAAGCACGAATTTTGAGAGCTCCGTTAACGTATTATCATCGTCAAATTTTGTATGGATAAAGCTAATTTAAATATATCCTCCGTAATCGTATCGCATCTTCAAAGTTTCTATGAAAACTAAGCAGCGCACCTATCGGACGAAAGAAAAACTAGATAGGTATACCTAGTTTGTTCGATAACGGAGCTGTCAAAATTCGTGCTTGGAACTCTGATTAATTCGGTGTGAACGAAAAGTTGAATACGTTTGTGAAAGTTGCTTAACGCTCGCTCATAAATCAATCGCTGAAAATAAGTTTAGTATGAATACTCGCAAAGTTTAACGCCACACAAAAAAACAAGAGAATAAATACACAATGTCCACAATGCTTTTGCAAGCCATAGCATTAGGAATTTCATATTGATACTTAAGATTAATGATCCTTAACCTTGTACTGACTTTCTTCAAATGGATTCTGAATTTATTTCTAATAAAAAGTACAATTCACCAATTGAAAACTACAAAAAAAATAAAATATCGTATCTAATTTGAGGCTGAGCAAAAGTAGTAAATTATTCCTAGGCCGTAGTGTCAGTTCTATAACAAAATGTCTGAGGATGCACTGACACACACAAAATAAAACCTATGTATTTAAAAAATATATTGATTAGCAAAGCTTATTATGAAATTGAAGACTTTATTGTTGCTCTGTGCTGGCTATAAAATAATAGTTATATATATATATATATATATTATTGTTATGGTTTTTTATTGCTTTTTTTCGTGCTTGGTTGTTTGTTTGTCCACATGATGTCATTAAGTGCCTGTGAAGGCTTATCTATACATATAATAAAATGGAAGGAAAGTCAAAACTGTACATTAGAATATTTTTTTAAAAGAATACTTGGGGTGTGATCTACAATGGATACAAAGCAGCCAAAAATATAGTTTTTAGAATTTTTTTCTGTTTGTCTGTATCTCAGGGATAAACTCATAATGTACTACAGCATGGATTTACTTCAAAGGACATGGCTAAGAAAATGCCCTTAAATTGTATAAATATTTCGCACTAGCCCGTAACTTTACAATATTTTTTTAATTAATTATTACATGTTTATTATTCTCCTACAACTTTCGTGAAATAATCAAGTATAAAAATTTACTTCATGTCTGTTTCAAAAGCAAAATGTTCCGTTTTACTAAATAAATGAAGAATAAATGTACACAAAAAATGTTTGTGTACAAAAAAAATATATCGAAATAAACAATATTATTTCTAAACTCCTTCAAACTATGACATATTTGGCCCTAATTTTTATTATAACAAATCACTGAAGGCCTAAAATAATAGATTTTATTATTCTGATCAGGCTTCTAAGAAAATGCGAAATTGATGACTCTGTAAATAATTGGCAACATCTTTTATCAACAGCTATAGTAAGGTAATGACATAATAGGTTTTCATAATTTTCAAGATTGCGATTTTATCAAAAGTTCCTGAGCCTTTTTTCATAGAAATTATAAATATTCAGCCATTTACCATTAAATATTACTATAATGCGATTCAACTAAGAATAGGACCGACTGGGCGCCATATTGTGACGTCATAGCTGTCAATTCAAACCAAATAGGTAGAGTGTGCAAAAAAAGTTTTTATTTAATAAAACCTATTTACTAAAATTCAGCAAAGGAAACCCGATTTTTATTAATATTTATTTATTAATACTGTGTGAGAAAAAAACATTAATCAGAATCTAGCTCTTCGTTTTAGCAATTTCGTTGACGATTTAGGTTATCAACCATTCATAGCCAAAGCTTAATAAATTAAAAAAAAAATATATCAACCAATATTAATTATCAATACTTGTTATTGTTTGTTTAGAAATGTTTAGTTTTTATTCTAGAATTAGCTGAGTGCTAAAAGGGCTCCAAGATTTTTTTGCAAAACGTACTTTTCATGCGACATTTGACAGATGGAGGTCATTGGCTTTCCTATTCTTATTTGAATCGCACTATAAGTACAGTATTAATACATTGCCAGGGCAGTCGCACATACAAAACTTACATACACACACATACAGGCTATATATTATCACGATGTCACCTACGGGGAACGAGCAGTGAACCTTTATTTCTAACTAACTCCACGCGTACGAAGTCGCGGGCGGCCGCTAGTGTTGAATAAACTTTATTTTGATTTTATTTATTTACCTGTATAGAAGCGTCGACGTATTTGATCTTCCTCTGACGGCCCAGTTTGAGTTCTAACGCTCGTTCTTGATGGCCAGAATCCGGGTCGTGTACGGCCAAGTGCCGGATCAGATTGCCTTTGTGGGCGAATGTACGTTGACATTCGTGGCACGTATGAGTTTTCTCTTTGGGCGGCTTCGGAACGTAGTTCGGATTGTGATAGAGGTTCTGATGCCGTCGCAGTAGCTGCTTTTGTCTGTTGGGTTTGTTTATAAATTGTAATGATATAGTAGACATCTTTGCTGTAAATGAATATCATAATAAAAGGCTTATAAGCGAAAAATTGTATTGTTAAGTATATGTAATTCTTTTTATGTAAGAACTTAAGAGCCCTTTTACAAAATTGCGCCGCTGCCGCACTGATCGGCGCGTAGGTAGATTTGCACTAGTATATATTGCATTTTACGGGTGATGTTTCGAGTCTTATAAAATAATTATAAATGAACTAATTATAAAAATATATACATATTTCAGTAGTTCAATGATGGTAGATTAGTTTTATGAAAGTTATTGATAGTAATTCTATTTAATTCAATATCAAAATACGAGGTAAACCTGCATTGTTTTTGCGGAAAACTCACGGAGGTGCTATGTTTTTTTTTTGATAATAATTAATGAGGTGGAAAATCTAAATTCTAATACATTATGTTACAACAAAAACATATTTCTGATGTCGTAGTAATTAATTTTATCTAATTTATTGAACATTATTTAGAGATTCAGGCGTTTGAAGTTGTGCATATTTTCGTTTTTTCCGTAAACTAGCTGCGCTAGAACGATCAGTACAAAAAAAGGAAAATAGTATTTGCAAATATTTTACATTAACTTACAATAGGAAGAATAAATCTAATACTTTTCTATTTCTTGATTTTTAGTAATAATATTCAATTACTTTTATCTTTTAGTGCAATCGCTCCCAATATTCACGTTAAAAAATATGCCAATAATAATTGGTACTTTATTTTTTTATCCTGGCAATTAGCTATTTATTTTTAATCATCTGTCTGTAAGTGCTGAGTTTTATTGGTCATAAACAAGTCATGTTTGCTAGACTAGACTAACGTAAGCTAAACTTAACTTGATCTTACATTAGGTAAGTTCACGGGAAGTACCCTGTAAATTTTGATTCCCATGCGAGTTTCAAAAATTTGAGGGAATTTCGGCATAAATGGCTGTATCTTTTGATTGCTTTGGCTTAAAAGGTTGATTTTTTCACAGTACAGTAGATCTGAGTCTAAAGATTAGATATAAATTTCAGTTTGATACTCTTTCAGAATATTTTTTTTTTTTGCTTTATAAGGGTTCCTTTTTTTCTTTTGAGGTACGGAACCCTAACAAAGCAAAAAAAAAAATTCACTAAGACTTAAAGATTTCTCCATGCTTCTAATAAGTTTACAAATGGGAAAATTCAACTGACCTGAAAGACTGATCGCACTCCTCGCAAGCAAACGGCTTCTGGTCCGTATGCTTGAGCATATGCGATTTGAGGTGCCGCAACGTCGTAGACGCGTACGGGCACAATTCACATTTGAAGCATTTCTCGCCTTCGTGAGTCTATGGAGAAATAAAAAAATCTTAGGCGCTGTGCCCACTTAAGCAGCGTGACACCTGATCTGTGACAAGTGATCTGGCATGTAACTTGCCACAAGCATCAACATCTATACATATAATAAAATGGTAGGAAATTCAAAACTGTACATTGAATATTTTTTTAAAAGAATAATTGGGGTGTGATCTGCCATCAATACCGAAGTCAAAAATATAGTTTCAAGAATCTTTGTCTGCTTGCCTGTATGTATGTCCGGGATAAACTCAAAAAGTACTGCATGGATTTACTTCAAGTTTGGCACGAATATTATTAAGAAGTCAGATCAACATATAGGCTACATATTATTATCACGCTATCACCTACGGGGAACGAGCAGTGAACCTTTATTTCTAACTAACTCCAAGCGTACGTAGTCGCGGGCGCCCGCTAGTTCAAAGAAAATGCATGGGCTAGCGCCCATTTGTAGGAGGTAACGCGACATGACCTGACGTGCCTAGCAAAGTATAATTGTACATACGAGGGGAGGTCAGTAAGTTCGCGGTATGGAGGGGTTGGTGGGGGTAGGTTTGCTCGTCCAAGTAGGCACTAGTTGAGCACCTCATTAAGAGTATATATACCAAGTTTGAACCTAATCGGGCCATTAACTTTTGAATTATAGAACTGCAAACAACTGAATCGGGAAGAAGTCAGCCAGTATGGAGAAAATTGAACACCGCGCCGTTATTAAGTTCCTTACCAAGCAAGGAAAATCCGCTCAGATTATTTTTCAAGAGCTATTGGCGGTTTACGCGGACTCTGCCCCTGGTAAAACCATGGTTTACAAGTGGCATGGTCTTTTCAAACAAGGAAGAGTCCATTGAAGACGACCCCCACTCTGGACGGCCAATTGAGGCCACCACACCGGAAATCGTCGAAAAAGTAGAAAAACTTGTATTGGAAGATGCCTGGTTGAAGAAGAAGCAGCTTGCAGCAATGACTGATGGATGAGTATGCGAAACCAGTATTTTGAATTTTCTACATCATCATCTTGGGATGACTAAGGTCAGTGCAAGATGGGTTCCGAGAATGCTTACGCCACTTCAAAAACGCGAGCGTGTCGAGTGTTCTCGCCAGTTTTTGGAGCTCTGTGGAGGGAGAAAGGAAGAAGTTATGGCCCGAATCGTTACTGGTGATGAAACCTGGGTTCACCACTATGAACCAGAGTCAAAGCAAGAGTCGATGCAGTGGCATAAAAAAAAGCACACCTCCTCCAAAGAAGTTCAAAGTGACACAATCGGCTGGCAAGATCATGGCGACTGTCTTTTGGGCTACAGAAGGTATTTTACTGATCGATTATAAAGAACGTGGTGTGCCTATAACGGGACAGTACTACGCTTCTTTACTAGAAAGATTGAAAGAAGCCATCAAAGAAAAAAGTAGAGGAAAGCTGTCAAAAGGTGTGCTCCTTCTGCACGACAATGCACCCGTTCACACGTGCCATGTTGCGACGGCTGCCATTCACCGATGCGGCTTGGAACAATTGAACCACCCACCCTACAGTCCAGACTTGGCACCCAGTGACTATTATTTATTTCCAAAAATGAAGAAAGAGCTGCGTGAAAAAAAATTTGACGATGATGAAGAAGTGAAGTCCGCAATTTCGGCCTATTTTGACACAAAAACAAATCATTTTTTTTCGATGGTATAAACAAGTTATTTGAGAGATCTGAGAAATGCATTAGGGTAAAGGGAGAATATATTGAAAAGGAAAAATAGTTAATTTCAACCTCCTTCCCTCTTATTCCGCGAACTTTTTGACCTCCCCTCGTATAAAACTATATTTATATAGAAATACATATTAAACATCCGTGATTGGAGTACAAATGCTCGTATTCATCACACAAACATCTACCCCCACCGGGACCTCTCGTGTCGGTGACACTATGAAACCCGACGTACAAACCACTCGGCCACGGAGGTCGTCAAAGTATTACGAAGTACCCACCTTGATGTGCACTTTGCAGGAATATCTGTCGGGGAAGGTCTTTCCACAACGCTTACACTTAAGCGGTTTGTCAGAGGTATGGAGTTTCTGAACATGCACCCGCAGATCTGTCTTACGCCCACACTTAGCCGGACATAATTCACAAGCGTAAACGGGCTTCTCTGCAACTGTTTAAATTAATTGTTAATATTAATTAGTTACTCAGGCAGTTGTTTCATTTGTTAAATAAGATATAGTTTAAGTCATACTTTTAGTTTGGTTGGACTAACATTTGAACATAAGGCATGTTCACTATTACAGATTGTTCACAAATTTAATGTAACTAACCAAAGGAGCGGTAACAAGTTGAAAAGAAAATCAGATATGCCCGATATAACATGCTCCATTATCATAAAATTATAATGGAGATGATGACAGGTTAAGGGAAACGATATCATTTTATGTCTATTATTTAAATTATCATAAAATAATGGACACCTAGTTTTTCTTTTGTCAATCAACCAAAATATATCATATATAAAGCGCGTCAAAGTTTAGGAGCGGGGGCTCAAGACGTCAGACATAAACGTCATACGACTTGAAAAATCACTGCGTATTTATTCAACAAATGACCAAGTTGAGAAACACAACAATGAAGTTTATAAATTTTACGAAGGAAAAAGTACTCGAATGTTCGACATGCCTTTATGTCGAACATTCAAGACCAACTTATTGTTTGACCCGAAACCTTAGAAATACTTCATTGGAGTCCATTATTCTCAGCGATATAAATAAAATGAGTGGAATACCGAGAAAATTGTGCTGGAACATTTTGTATAACTTGCTGAGAAATCACGTTAAGCGACGTTACGGGAAGCAGGTTACAAAGATTGGCGCTTTAGTAACTGGAGTTGCAGCACGACTAGTATTCCCTTAGAAATTCTTTTCATTATAGTGTTGAATATTGCATTACTAATATGCAAATTATGCAAAAAGTCTTTCCTGTTCCAGCGCCCCACGCTTTTACAATCAAATATTATAATTAAAAGCACATAGTTTACACTTCAGCCCAGAAATAGAGACAACTTGAACAATCCATAATTTATTTTTGGTTTTTCACACTTATAAAAGCGTTTTTCTTTTTTTTTTAACTAGTAATTTATTGATAACCTACCCGATAGACTAAGAAAAAAACGTAAGTCATCATTCCTTTTAGAGAACAGAATTTATAACTAACAAAACTTACCATTATGAATCAGTTTGTGTGCCTTGAGCGAGTTGGACTGTGTGAAGCACATATTGCAATGGTCACATTTGTATGGCTTTTCTCCTGTGTGGGTACGCAAATGACGTTTCAGCTTGAACGTGTCTGGAGATGCATATGTGCAGTTTGGACACTGTACAAACAAGAATTCATTTTAATCCTAATCCGATTTTAACATTAGTTTATAATGACAATAGCATGCTCATAATGAAAAAATCTTCATAATTTGATAGATGCAATATTACATTACAAAAAAATTATGACTGTGAAACTGTGAAGTACCTACATTATCACTTCCAGTGACAATTTTATATTTTTTCACAGGTACTTGTTGATGTAGTAGATTTTTTTTTAATTTTTCATATTTAGTAGAAGAATTTTATTTATGAGAACATAAATAATATATGTTTTCCAGCATAGTATACTTTCCAGTTCCCACTACCAACATAGATCATAGTTACCTGGGGGTCAATCGCCTAACGGAATTGCTATGGGTATACGTAAATACCTTAGGCTCATTGTCTTTTATATTGTTGTTACCAATACAAAAGAAAAAAAAAGTATGGGGCATTTGAAAACCTTTGGCGGTCAGAAATAACAAAATGAAATCGTTAACGAAAGCGATAGCCATAGCAATCTCGTAAGGCGAACGGCCCCCTGATATATAATTACCAGATATTTTCTTACCTGATAAGGCCGTTCGCCTGTATGACAACGCATGTGTCGCCGTAGTTTGGACAATTCTACAGACGCATAGTCACATTCTGTGCACTTATGGGGCTTTTCATGCGTATGTTTGTATCGAACATGGCGCACCAACTCGCCTGAGTGATAAAAATGATAAAAAAAATATTAAGAAGCCTGTCGAAAGTTGGTTTTCTTCCTACTAGTACTTGCTTACTTACTTCTTACTTCCTAGTAGCCTAATTCCTAGTATTAATTTAAGGAAGTTTTCCCTTGCTTATAACTTAGAGCCCACATTTACATTCATAAAAAACTGATTCTTAAATGATGTTCTATCATTTATACTATAAGTTACACCAGCTGTGCCCCGCGGTTTATTATCGACATTTTCTTGCAGTAAAACTTAGCCTATGTGTTAATCCAAGGTGTCAGCTAACTCCATACCAAATTTTATTAAAATCGCTTTAGCCGTTTAGACACTATGAAGTAACAAACATACACACACAGACGCACACTTTCGCCTTATAATAATAGTGTGATAATATTATGTAAGCGCGATTTAATGAATGTTGTGACAAGAATTAAAAAACTTTTCAAAAGTAAATATAAACCAAAATCAAGCAACAATTTTTTTTTTAAATCAGTAACAGCTTTATTTTGTTTTGGATGCCATTTTTACTAATGTGACACTCACCAGAGGTAGTAAATGAACTGTTGCAATACTTGCAAATGTGCGGTTTCACCCCATTATGCATGTTCACATGATTCTGTAGGGAAGCAATGGTCTTGAATCCACGTTCACACACCCCACATTTGTGTGGTCTGTCTTCTGAATGGGATTTCATATGTCGTAAGAGTAGGAAGCTGTGGAAAAAGATGAAGAGTTGAAAAAAGCCTAATAAATAATTGTATGAGTGTTCTCCTTATATCATACATATCAAATCACATGAGCGTTAATTAGACCACTTTATACATCTATGTTCTTTATCATGGGTTTGAAGGCATTCCATTCGGTTAAGCAGCGGCATTTGTTGCTTAATAATAACAATTCAATTGCTTTTCAAGATAAGTGTAGTCAGTCTGTATCAAAATTAAAACTTCATTATATCTCAGGATGAGAAATATACTTATTTTGTACTCTACCCATTAGCATATTCTATCTCAGTATAGTCTGAATAATTTACAACTGCAATTATAACAGCAAGGTGAGTAAAATTTTGAACTTGTTGCTCAGGTCAAAAACATTAGTTTGATAAAACTAGATCATCAGCAGCCTTTCAAAGACCCTGTCAATCTTCTACAAATGCTATGCTAAATACAGCTTTGGGCCATTTGCATCTAAAGACTTCCTCCCACCACATTTACTAGGTATTGGTTGTCTATACTAGCTAACAGGCCTACCCACAATGCGTCTTATAGTTTGTATTCGCTTTTGTGGGGTAAGAAAGATCTTTCCTTCCCCCAACAAGATGATAAAGCTTAATTACCGTCTATGACTTGTGTAAGTGCAAATTGTGCAGGTGAAATGTGGTCGCAGGTACTTCCGTTTATTAGTTGCTGGTTTTGCTTTGCCAGTTGGTTCATCCTCTTCAGCAGATTGTTCCTCGCCACCTTCTTCGTCATCTTCAAAAGTGTAAACATCTTCATTTCCCTTTTCTTCTTCATCTTCTTGAAGTTTGTCCTAGAAAGAAAGCATATTCAAAATGTTGATTTAAACAGCAGTAAATTTCATTCATTTCACAATAATAAAGTATTAATTACAAATAGCATTGATATAAACTCAAAAACTCAACAAAACAAACAATTGAATTAGAAATTGGTCATGTCAATTCTGTTATTTGTAAAAAAAAAGGTTTTTGTATATCAATATATTACCTCATCCATTTTGATCCCAATTTTCACATCAGACTTATTGTCCTCTTGTACTACCAGGACATAGCTCACTTCTCCTGTGCCAGTGTCAGAAGGGACCAAAGCTACAGTTTGATATGCTTCACCATCTACTAACCTCTGCTCTTCTGCTATGCCCTAAAATAAGAGATCATTGAGATGCGCTCCTAATGGAAGTGTATTCACTGCGACCTAAAAGATCTACTGTGATTTGCCGCCAAGTTAAAGTATTTCGTTTAGTCTGACATCTTCTAAGAAGCTTAGAATGTTCCTAGCTTAAATAAAAAGATCTATAAACAATATGAAATGCCAACATCAACTTAAATAATTGATAACCACAAATAAAAACAGACATACCTCATTTTCATTGGTAACTGCTGTGGGTAAGGAAACAATGCTTTGATTATCACCCGCGGGCTGATAATAATACCGTCCTTCCTCATCAACAAAATATGTGACCCCATTGTCTGGCTCTTCATCTGGTGCACTGTTAACTATAAAGTAAATTTTTAATTCTGTTATAGGTAGGGGCAAATTTGTTGAAGAAAACCAAAGACAAATAAACTAGAACAGTAGTCAATTTTGAATAAAAATTGCTACTGCATAAGCTTTCTTTGCTTATGGTGGATGCTCAAGTTAGCTGGGGTGTATACAGTATATTTTATGTTATAAGATGTACATAAATTAATATCTAAATTATATTTACCTGTAATCATTGTTGGTTCTATGTATGTCATTACAGTCTTGCCTTTTCCCTTTATGTCAGGTGGTGGCATGGCTGCAACATAACAGAATATTGATACTGATTGTCTTAACTTAAAGCCATAAAACTAAATAGATTAGTGTAAGTAATATAATAAATTAATTACACTAAGGTCAACTTGCAGGAATCACAATTTAACCAAGACTAGATTCATCCCATAAAATGAATCAAATTGACATTGTCATTTTTCTATGGGTTAAATCTAATCTAAGTTGAATCAAAATTTAGCAAATTCGCTGCAGGTGCGCCTAATGCATTGTTTCATTTATAGTTAAAATTTACTGTTAAAATACTTCAGAAAAAACTAAACATTTGTAAAAATTTTATATGTATTTAATGTGACATTAACTATAGTCAAATTTAACTATAGTGAAACAATTTGGCCAGAGGTTTAACATAGTAATTTAGATTTAAATATCACTGTAGTTTCTTTATTTAACTTCTACACAGTGGGCAGAAAATATTCTTGCTGATAACTAAATACTGTTTTTAAATAAATGTCAAAACTGAAAGACTATTTAGATAATGTTTATTAGTGAAAAATAAAACTCACACTGTCTGACCCTAACAAAGCAATTTTATGTATTGGCCATTTTATTAAAGGGAAAGTGACTAAAAACTAATTGATGTCTCTGAAGTAAGAGCCTTGGGACCGTACAAATTATAATTTGGAAATTTACTTGTTGTTTTAGCTTTATTTATGATAAATTAATTTTAAATAGGTATTTGTTTAGTTAAATTCTAATGTTTATCTGAACTGTCACATGTACCTATGAGGGCAATTAATTTATGTAAAACAAAAGAAATTACGACGTCAATTATTTACTTTGATATAATAAAACATTCGTGCTGAATTTGAAACTTAGGAATAATTAGCAATAAATTGTTATATGTAGTTAAAACGCAAAATGTAAGAGTCCAATGGAAATTAGAAATGAGAACTTACTTTCAATATTCCTAAAAAGATTCAGATCAAATAATTTGTAGTTACTGCAGTACCTATTTCAAACAGTTTGCATTCTAAATTGTTGTTGAGATCATAGCCGCCATCTTTACAGTACACGTAATAAATGGACACAATAAAGCACCATTTCAACTAAAATAATTAAATATTGCAATAAATATGCACTCAGGTAACAACAAATTACCGCCACAAACTAAAAACTAAGATTATACATCACAGACGGCGCTGTCGTCAAAGGCAATTGAAGAAAGAAATCCGCATTAGAATTGATAAAGTCATGTAACTATGCTTGTTTCAATATGTACGTGTCCACTAATTCCAAATTCAAGCAAATCCAACACACATCAACAAGTTTTACTTTGCGAATCAACTGTGATATTTTATTAAAATCAAGAAAAAGTCCATGAATGGTTGAATGTACCTACTTCACAATTTTCTCAACGAGGGCGTTACAATCAATTGCAAAAAGCGATAGTGACGCCGAAATGGCGGCCGAGAGAACTACGAAAATGTGAACTTCAATGTCAATGTTGCCAGGATGTTGAACTTTTATTAAATTGTGTAAAACTAGATGGCGTCGTTTATCAAACTCAAAAAATTCATCCATGCCATTTTTAATTTTATATGGGTATCGATTTTGGCATGATTCACTAAACTTAAAACTAATTTTAATATCAGTCTCTGCTTTTCATTCTGTATAGCGAATTACAAGGATACCGTTGTTTAGGTTTAGAGAATCTTGCCAGAATCGACCTCATAGTTGACTGCTAAGTTGAATATCATCGCTATCATTTCATCTTTAATTTATATAAAAATTAGAGCTTATTGCTGTGATTAAAAGAGCAATAAAAAATGGTTGCCTGTAAAGTCGGTTTTACGGGCGAAGATTTTACGTGACAACGTCTTTTTCTCGGTAGAATATTTATTGATATGAATATAATTAAATTGCACAATAGGAACAAGGAATTGAATGAAAATAAGAATTGCACAAATTTTAACTATAGAAATATATTGTGTTTACTAAAACATTGTACATGTAAACTTAAACTCATCGTAACGTTACCGAGCGTTACACTTTTTCATAAGTGACTCCCAGCCGCAACCTAATTTAAGACGTTGTCACGTCAAAAGACGACAATAGTGTCGATTATGCATTGATTCTCTAAACCAAATTTGACAACAGTGTATCTTTGTTATTCTCTATACAGAATGAAAAATAGAGATTTATATTTTAGTTTTAAGTTTAGATATCATGCCAGAATCAACACCAATGATTGCTGTATTTTAGGCTGTATAAACTTGGTACCGTCTGCCTTAAATAAAATAAAATAGTACCCATAGACTTAGGAGTTAAAGTAAACGTGGCGGCAAAATTTAAATGTTTAGTTTAAATGTGAATTTTCTTTCTAAAGGTTTTAACTTACCAATCGACTGCGATTTGTCAGTAAAAAAAAAAAGAATTCAACATCGTAATACAGCGTAAAAATAAATAATGTCAGATGATTCGGTAAATTACATCCCTAAGAAAATTGAAATGTCCGTAAAATGAAACCGTCTTCGCCTCGAACCGACCATAACCCCCCCCCCCCCCCCCCCCCCCCCGAAAAAAATATGGCAGAATGATTTGAATAGTATTATTTCGCTGTCGCTACTCTTCAGAGTAGATCTTTTCAAGTTATAATATACAATAGAACTTTTCATGTAAACCAGAATCATCCTTAGGGATTTTAATATCCACAATAATTTTTAAAGCAGAACCATCATATCACAGAAAATTCATAATCAGAATAAAATTGTCTTTTGGCATACCTAAAAAAATAGCTTTCCCTTGCTTATTTAGGACCTATTTTAATAAGACCCCTTCATGGTGAATTGGTGACTGACGCATCGCTTACCCGGCATGCACTAAATTTAGGTCACTCACTAACCTAACCGAACCCACTAACACAAACAGCGATTGTGCTTAACGAAATTATGCAGATATATAAAATTTTGCCTCTTAACAGTATGCCATTATAAATTCGGGCATACAATCATTCAGCCAAACAATAATTATTATTGAAGTGAAACTTCTTTACGCACGCTTGACTCGGGGGATAAGCTGGCGAATGCGTTACGCGTTGCGAAAAGTTTGTTCGGAACTATAAGAACTACACTGTTGAAACTTGGTAAGTAGTGTATTCTGTGAACCGCTTAAGATTTTCACAAAAAAATAGAAAAAAAAACAAGAAATTTTGGGGTTCCCCATACTTAGAAGAGAAACACAAAAAAAAATATCAAACGCATACCGTGTGTTATGGATAGTCTTCAAAATATATATTGAGGTTTCTAATATATATTTTTTTTAAACTAAATAGTTTGCGAGAGAGACACTTCAAAGTGGTAAAATGTGTGTGTGTGTCCCTGTAACTTCTAAAATAAGAGACTGATAAAACTAAAAAAATATATGATGTACATTACTATGCAAACTTCCACCGAAAATTGGTTTGAACGAGATCTAGTAAGTAGTTTTATTCATAAATTACAAATCAATTAAAAACATACACTATTATTAAAACATCGATCAAAGTTACAACGAACTACAAGAAATTTTATATTCTGTTACTTGCTACAACAGAACCCTGTGCGAGTCCGACTCGCATATGACCGCTTTTTTTAAGTATTTGTTGTTATAGGTTATAGCGCAGCAGCAACAGAAATACATTATCTGTGAAAATTTCAACTGTACAGACTGACACTTGACAGTTAAGCAAAATCTTTCCTATAATAATATTACTGAAACATTAATACAATGATGATGATGTTAGGATTAGAGGGTAGATCTGAGAAAAAGATTTTAGCCGAAGTACCTACACGCGTTAAGGAACAGTAACATTCAAATGTTATTATTCAATGTACCTATAAAATGTTTTGGCTACGTTTAATAACAGTAGGTAGGTATGCAACAAAGTATATACACATGGACGTCAATTGCACTTAAAAGTTGATGGAACCACCGAGATATAAGTTGACACCGTATTGGAGTAGATATAAATATGGGTCCAAATGGGTACCAATATGAAGAGAAAATATATATTGGCACCTAAATAAAGTGCGTTGTATACGATTATAAGCAATATACGCAAAGATATGAAGATAAATGCTTGTTAAAGACATGGACGCAAAACTGATGTAAAGTAGGAAGACGCCGAAACGGAACTGTGATGTAAATATATATATATATATCTTTATATATATAATTCTTCTGTGAGTGTGTATGTCACTGAACTTCTCTTAAACGACTGGACCGATTTTGATGAAATTTTTTGTGTGTGTTCAAGGGGATCTGAGAATGGTTTAGATTCACAATTTTGTCCGCTGGACAACCCCTATTTTTTTAGGGCGGTACGAAGTTCGCTGGGTCAGCTAGTATATATATATATTTACAATTATGCCGAGTGTGTTATGCCAAATGAATTTCAGAGCAACAAAATTCTGCCTGATAACAGGGAACCCTTTTCTGTAATATAATCGTATTATAATGGTCCACAGTCCACCACTGCTGGCGACAAAATTAATGGCACAGTTTTGTTGAATGTTGTAAAAAAACGAAAAACTCGGTTGTGAATTAGTCAGGCATCTAAATGATGCTGGTGAAATTTTTGTTGTGAAGAACAATCGTGAAAAGTAGCAGCTCGAATTATTCCAAACGATTTCTGGAAACGTTTCCTACGAGAAATAGGAAAGATAGAAGATGCAGAGTGAAGCTGCATTCCTACGCAAAGCTAAAAGATCAAGCTAATCGGATCTGAAGTCGGACGATTCAAGGCGCTTGGCCCTGATTACGATTAAAGGGAGAAGCTGGAATTACGGCGCACACGCGCAAATGACAAAACAGCATCTGACGCTTTTAATGTTCTGTTTCACTCTCCGTCTAGAACCGTAGTAACCTACAAGTTATCCCGTGGAGCCCTGGAACCTTACATTCAGAGAGAAACCGGACACGACCAAAAGGAAGTGTTATTTCACTATCGTCTTCTGTAAGGTTGAAGTTTTTTCCCCAAACGGGCGCTCCAATTCGAGCGGAAAATTCGCTATGCCCTTCTTTCTTGGAGTAAAATGCTGATGGACACTGGTGGGACGAACTAGTGGTAGGTACTGCGGCGATCTATCGTGAAGGGATAGGCCATGGGAGCGTAGTTTTATCAAATGGAAAACAACGATTATGTTTAACTCTTTTATTTTATTAGAAATCAAGGCGAATATAATAATTATAGCTTAATATGTAACCGTATGTTGTGGTCCCTGATTTCTATCTGCTGGAATCTACTATCAAAAGACAGAAGATTCCCAATTTCAAATCTTTTATAATCATGACATTAACTTTTTAATATAACTGCCAGCAGTATGCATTAAATAAACAAAGAGTTTACCCAAACAAGGAGGCTGTAACGCAACGGGCGTTACAGTACTTAGCCTACTAAAGTAAAATAAATAGGTAACAATATCCAGAAATTCATCAGTGAGTAGCTTTAAGCAATACTTACTTTTATTGTTTTAGTAAGGGATTGGGTCAGAGTAGGTAACGGCGCAAGTATTGCTAGGGTCTATATACCCTATAGTGGCCGCTACATCAGATGGGCCATAAACGCTTGTTAGTCACCCTTTTAACATAAAAAAGGTAAATTTAAAACATCAAAAAACCCGACTGCTTAATTATAAATAAAAACTGAAAAGAAAAAAACAAGTCCAGTAGTCTATATTTCTGTTAATAAGGAACAAAGCTACTTTAACAGTCGGGACCCATTAGATATTCAAGAGTACATAATATTTTTCAATAATTCGCTTTGTTACTGCTCTAACATCAAATTCCACAGTAAGACGCATTCCAGATCCTTATAAGGTGCTGTCGTGTAGAACTAAGTTCGAACGTACTTACATTCTTTTATTATTTGGGTCCTCGGTTATACAACAAGTTAAGTGGATTTTTTCCAACACTTCGAAATAACACATATTTTAAATGTAATAAAATAATTACCGGATTTTGACATTCACATAATAATTGACACGATAAATTGACAACATCGAATTATTATACAATATTAGAATATTACCGGATACTTGGCGTCACTTGATTATAGTAGTACTGAGGATTTGTTGAAGGATTAGAAGGCAAATTTGAGTATGCATATGTAATATATATTTATTTAATATTTTATACATAATATAAATTTACATGTAGTTGTATGACCTAATATTATATAAATTATTAATTTTGGTATTGATGTTTATTAGTATCTTTATAATATTTATCTTTTTACTTTACGTATACTGTACAGTATTAGCATTTCGCAGTTTTATCACGACCTGTCGTAAGTTGTAAAATGATATGAATCTACCCTATTTTGTTTACTCGACGATGATCCTACTCTGCCGCAATACAGTTTTGTTACTAAAGCGGAGGGTAGCTGGCAGTCTTTGACGTTGTTACGCATACCTTAATATAAACTTGATGTAAATATTGTAACACTGTTTAACAACTGTTTGTATTTTCTGATGGTGAATAAATGTTATTATTATTATTATTTAACTAATGTATGCAAATTTTATAGTAAACTAGCACTTATT